AAAAAAAAAAAAAAAAAAAACCACAAACCCAAAATTGATATTTTCTTTTTTTCCCAGCTAGCCTTATTTTTATTACTTCCAATATTTTATCTGTTTATTATTTTTAATAATGAAAATGAGAAAAGAGGACAGAAAAACAGGAGAACTCTACCATATACTTTAAGAAGCATCTAAGGAACTCCATGTATCTTACAGCAATTCTAAGACATGTAATCGACCCTCATCACTGCATGAAGGTCAACTTATTCAAGCCAAAGAAATAAAAAGACTAAGGGAGAAGGAAAGAAGAAATGAAAAGAATCCTAGAAATTTGAAAGAAATCAAAATTAAACTGCCCAGTTGAGATGAGTCCTTTCACCACTCTCACATACAGCCATTGTATCTCTGCCTGCAAGGGTCCCGTAACTTAGAATTCACTACTCCATATGTAGGGTAATTCTAAGATCTAGAAAGGTCTTCCTTGTGTTAAGATGAAATTTTCCAATATATTTACTATTACTATTTTTACTTTCCAGATAAAACAGAGGGAAAGTCTACTTTAACATACAATAGTTCTTTGCTATCTGCAGAAATTTTTATTTACTTATTTTTGTTGTTGTTGTTGCAGTTTTGGCCAGGGCAGGGTTCGAACCCTTCACCCTCGGTATATAGGACCAGCACCCTACTCCCTGAACCACAGGCACCGCCACATATCTGCAGAAATTTTTAGCCATAATTTCTTGAGGTGCTCCACAGAGTTGGCTGTCACTCTTCTCCGACATTCTTCGGTTTTTCAATGTTACTCAAGGGTGGCAACCAGATCAGAAAACAGAGTTTAGTGATTCCACCTTATGACTATCAGCTGACATTAGATGTCTCTCTCTAATACAGTGTTTCTCAACCTTCCTAACTGCCACATTGTTACAAATGGAAAAAAGGGGTCGCGACCCACAGGTTGAGACCGCTGCTCCAATACATAGTTTGTTTGAAATTTATCTGAAAAGAACACCTTTGGTTTGTAGTTTTGGAATTTATAATCTTTACCGGCTCCTACAGATAAATAAAGCTTTAAAAAAAGACCAATTTCTCCTTTTACACTTGAGATTTAAGAGGAGAAGAAGTTGTAACAGTGCTTAACCTAAAAGTTTCTCTGCTAAAATAGAACATATTTTCAAATAGTGATCAATACTGTACCAGCAGGTGAACACAGGGATGGTAAGTCAGAGAGTATGGTAACTGTGGCTGCCACCAAACGAGCACTTTCTTCTGACAGTCGAGTTTTAGTGGCGATGTGACTTGGAGAGTCGGACATCTTGGTACTGAGATGTGGCATATGCCGCACTAGAATGAACATCAACAGCTCCATAGTTGCGAACACAAGAGATTTTCCAGGAATGAGACCACCACTGTCACCTCCTTCTCCTAATACAGCACAGGGCTCTTTTTCCATGTCATCTTCATCTTCAGTAAAAGATAATTTTGGTGAATTTCCAGCAAAAAAAGGTAACAAATACCATATCAAACAATATAACAAGTGTATTTAAAAACTCATTTCAAAAGGATTTACAAGTAAATGTCTAACTGATGCCACAGTTCTTTCTCAGCATAACTCTCTGGCTTCCTAGAATTCTGTGCACTGACCTCTCCTTAAGCACATGGAAAATCTTTATTAGGTATTTTTATTAAGTTATATATTTTATTAGGTATGTATTTATTAGGTCGTGTATTCCATAATAGGAATGAAAATACAGTAGGTAGAAGCAAATGAAACTGAACACTTTTTTTTTTTTTTTTTTGAGACAGAGCCTCAAGCTGTCCCCCTGGGTAGAGTGCCATGGCTTCACTGCTCACAGCAACCTCCAACTCCTGGGCTCAAGCGAGTCTCCTGCCTCCGCCTCCCAAGTAGCTGGGACCACAGGCACCAGCCACAACACCCGGCTATTTTTTGGTTGCAGCCATTATTGCTGTTTGGCGGGTCCGGGCTGTATTCGAACCCGCCACCTTAGGTGTATGTCGCTGGTGCCTTAGCCACTTGAGCCACAGGCGCCGAGCCGAAACTGAACACTTTTGAAGGTGAAAAACAGTCAAATATCAGCAGTTTCACCTGCTGTTTTCAAGTCTTCTAAATATATCATTTAAAAAAAAAAACTTGACATTAATATTTTAAAAATTAGACTACAAATAAAATTTACTTTGAGTTAGTATAATTTCTAGTGCTTACTTAGAGTGTTTCTTTTTTCTTGCAAGTAATCCTGAGCAGCTCTTACTATCTGTTGAACGACTCCAGTAACCAAGAGCTGGACGGAGGATGGGTTCCAGGTCAACAGGAGGCGGTGCAGAACACTCAGCAACTCAACACCAATCAGCTATTATAAATACATACAAATACATTTCATTAATTTCAAAAGAGAAATTTATATTATTAAAATCTAAGAAAATACACACATAAAAATATAGAAATTTAGTAGTTAAAATTAATATATGGGACTATATGTCAAATAAGAAAGAACGTTATAACAACCTTGAGAAATGGTCTCATTTTATCCCAATGTATTTTCAAGCAACAAAGAACTGAACACATTTTATCAAGTTTTATATTCAATGATGAATATTCTCTTATTGGAAAGAAATACTTAGGCTAAACAGTATTGCCAGGGTCTAGTGCCACTAAAATTCATAATTTGCAACCTAAGCTGAAGACCAAGAGTTATCTCCTAGGGAGTGTAGATTTCTGGAGAGTCTCTTTCCTATTCACCTCAGCAATTATAATATTATAAATTTTCACCACCTACTTTAAGCCTCCTACCGTCTTCCACACCAAATCCATCCAATGAACCTAGGTCAATTTCAAAAAGAAGGGGGAAAAAATTCAACTGCAACCAACGCCATCTTTACCTCTTCCCTTAAGATGAAGCTTCCAGCCTCTTTTTTTTTTTTTTTAAGAGACAGAGTCTTACTTTGTCACCTTCGGTAGAGTGCCATGGTGTCACAGCTCACAGCAACCTCCCGCTCTTGGGCTTAGGTGATTCTCTTGCCTCAGCCTCCTACATAGCTGGGAGTAGAGGCCCTGCCACAATGCTCGGCTATTTTTTGTTGCAGTTTGGCCAGGGCTGAGTTTGAACCCGTGATCCTTGGTATATGGAGGCCAGCGCCCTACTCACTGAGCCACAGGTGCCGTGTCAAGCTTCCAGGCTCTTATCTAAGGCTGGTTATATGTTCTCTGTCCTGTCCTATTGACTTCCCAGGGATTCTTCAAGGACCTCAATTATCTCATGCCTTCAGCCTTTCTCTCTACAGAGAGAGGCTATGCCTCACATAAGTCTCTGAGATGACTTTATCTACCACCATGTCATCTATCTGTTCTGCCTCTTCCATTCCCAGGCTGGATGCCTCCACTTCCTATATCATTTTTTTTTTTTTTTT